TAGGGAAAACTGTCACAAACTGATTCACACTTCAGAAAGCCATGCCAGCGGCCTGGCACTAACTGAAGACAGCAAAATGCCCACGTGCTTTTTTTTTACAGACCCCTGGTGAGAGCAGGCTGGGTTCAGACAGAAAAAGGTTAAGAAAAGGCTACACCAAGTGAGAGCCTGGTAGGAGAGGAGCTTCCCCAGCCCCTGCTCCTCCAGGCTTCTGTCAGCCACAGCAGGCCGCAGCAGGCCGCAGCCCTGACCCTGGGCCCAGGGCCTCTCCTCTCCCAGCCTGCTGGGGGATTACTTGATTCCCAACAGCTGGCCCAGCCACAATCCTCCCATGTAGGGCAGGCAGCTGTGCTCCCTCCTCAGCTTAACCCTCTCCCTGCCAGCCCTCCTCTCCCACAGGACTGTGGCTGCTTTCCCAGTGCCGGTGGAGGGATGCTCGCAAGCGTGCTGGAGCCTGCTGCATCCCTTCAGCTGGCCCAGGGGCTGGGGAGAGAGAGGTTTTATGGATACGCCAGCATAAGCAGAGCTCTTCCGCTCTCAGTTTTTTGAGAATTAAGAGAAAACACATGAAAATCCACGCAAAGTGTCCTCCTGCAGAGCTGTGATCCCCAAGAGCTGCGTGCCACTTCATGAGCCTCATAAAAATCAGACCAACAGCAGATGCTGCCAGTGACATGCCCAAACTCAAACACACCCACACCAGAATGAAAATGATTTATTAAAAAGCAATTAAAATTAGTAATGGGGAAGAGAAACCAGAAAGATTCTATAAATAGACACATTCACAATCAGAATTGCTGGGCCAATGGCAAAGCTTCATTCTGTGACTCCTGATACTCCTCTTAAATACATCAATGGAGAAAAAGCTACATATGTGAAAAATCTGTGTCAACACAGCAAAAGAGGAAAAAGGACTACCACTAAAATGGTATATTTTTAGTGTTAGAGCAGTATTATTGCATAGCTAAACACTGTGTGCTATGCACTGGAAAAAAACCCAAAACTCGAATAAATGAGGATCTTCAAGCCTTACCATGTCAATTAACAACCCACCTGTATGTTCTGAACAACATCTTTGAATGGAGAGGACCTCTGCATACATGTGTTCACCATGTCCATTGCCCTGTCAAAGTTCTTTACGTATTCTCCGTACATCTTCAGAAAAGGAGCCAGTTTCTGTAGGATGTCTCCTAGCCGTGGGTTGACATTCCTATGGGAAAGAGACAAGTAAGTACCAAAATCTCTGGAAATCAATACTATCTTCTGAGAGAAAACACAACTGTAGGATTTCCATAGTTGTGTCCTGCATGCACAAACAGTTACACACATATGCTATCAAGATATTTCAGGTTAAGTTTAGTTTAAAGTAATCTATACGGCACCCTAGATGAAACCTGAAACATCAATCTAGATGTACAAAGGATGATATTTCAGTCTCCAGTGTCACGCTCTTAAGTGAAGATCAAACTGACTACGCATGGCTAAAGAAACATCTATCTATCTCTGCTGTCCACCACAAAATCTTGCAGGAAACTTACTTTTTAAAAATCATCTTTTCCACCATAGCAAAGATCTGAAGAGGTTTTAATGTCAACAGATCACTCAGCCCAGCTGGGCAGTCCCAGGGGGCCAGCCACACGTTCACCTAGAGAACCCCCCCCAGGCTGGGAGCAGTGGTTGCCACACATCCTTGTCTCCTCCAAATTCATGGCCAGGCAGAGAGACAGCCATTTTCCCCCCAGCTT